ATGCAAGTTCTCTGTGAATTCACGATTACAATGATGTATAACTTACCAGGTTACAACGAAATATTGGATCCCGAATGACCAATCCCCTGGATGCGAAAACGTGCTTTTTGTACACTAAAAAAATTTCGCGCATGCGCAGACAGCTATGGAATACCCCGGGCGTACTTAGTATATTGACATAGCACAGCCCGAAAACGCAGCTATTTTATGGTATATCACATTGCCTTATACAACGGAAACAGATTTTAAGCTTCGTGGTCACAAATGTCTTGGCTTTCATGATATATATATATAAGTCAAAATAAAGTCAGTAATTATCAAGCACTCTTTTGTTGCTATGAACAATAGCTACATGGTTTCCCGATTCACTAACTACGCCTGAGAGAGTTATTTTAATTTGCAGCAAAATTATACGTTGGCAAATATCTTTCATATAAATCTCTTGCTCCTCTATTGTTTTCGCTCTGGTTTCCGTACGACTATAATGCACACAATTCGCACGAACGCTCTCGTTTACAAAATAATTAGAGTGAGAAATTGAATACCGTAAACTGTAATTAGTCAGCGCGTCCTGTTAAATTCCATATGTCCATGCCGTATGACGAAACATCTACTCAAGGTCACCAACATGGTTACAACCTACCTCTAAAAGCTTGTTCCCTCATCATCGCCGATGCGGTAGACCTACTCGTTGCGCATATTACGCGAAAAATAACGTAAAAATAATTATGCGGCCATACACTACAAAATCGCACATAAATCCTTTCGAATGTTGCTTCACAGCTCGTATAACAAGCATATCAACAATCTTCGGTCGACGTTGAATACAGTGTACATTCTATAGTATCTCTTTGATAAAAATTACTTGCAGTAGAGTGCATTATTGTGCACGTCATTGCCATCGGATACTCTTGGTCTGTCATATATGGCTAATATAGCATAACTCATATCAGCTTCACTAAGTATAATGAATTATAGTATCGCGCGTCGAGTCGCCTGAGCAAACTTGTTATTGTGTACGCTATCTGCATTACATTCAGCATTTGGGTGGATGTTTTTTTTGTATTGGTGGACAGTCGGACGGTCAAGAACAGAGGCAGAGACCGAGAGATAGTGAAATGGATCTCATTTCGAGGTTTTGATGGGCGCGCATATTGTTAAGTTAGCCAATCGTTGACGTTTTATTTTGCATATCTTTTTTTGCATCATACTTCGAGGAATACATTATAAAATAAAAAATATAACTAGAAATAACATGTTAGTGTAATTGGAGCATGTCGCGTTTATATTAATATTTACGGGCATCCGTACTCTGTTCCCGCCCATAGTAACTAGATATTACACAATACAGCATTGCAAAAAACACCAGTTTAACTGACTCACTTAGATAAGAATTTGGTCCAGCATAAAAGATGTAATCTCCCGTTAGCTTTGCTCTTCGTAATGCAGAAAACGAAATGAGGCCATGGTAATTTCGTCAAGCTAGCAAAGAAATATGATTAGGCGATTATTACCGTTGGACTTTTCCATTTGTATACACGCGCGCGTGCAGAGAGAGAGAGAGGGGAGGGGGGGAGTGAGAGAGCGTGTATGGTCTATAAATGGTATTAATATCATGCCAACCCCTGAGTAATGGAATAGCAAGGTGACACTGTGTGGTCTATACTTATTTAACGCCTCGTTCTACTTAATTAGCAATGCATATATCTCAAGAAATACGATCGTTAAAATTTTCGAGGTAATTCAATAGCCGTACTTCGTCATGCAGAGATTGTTATAAGCCGTAAAATGTTTAGTTGGGTTTGAACAGCGCGATGGCCATCAAAGCAGAAAATGAACCTGTATGATCAGTGAAAGTTGCTCGCGATTTGACGATTACTATAGTTAACAATGAGATCCGGCGAGCGAATGATCAATATAAAAGGGGATGCATTGTTGCGTGTTTTACGCACTCGCGCGTTTCTCCATTGAAATCCTCGTGCCCGCCTCCATGACGATTCACGCCAAAGCTCGTGTTCACGTTATGCGTAGCGCTCCACAATATCACAATGCGACAGCAATTATAATACGAATGTAATCTCGGGAATTACCGTAAACGGTCGAACGCCGCTTTTAGAAACGGGAAGATTTCATTGCCGACCTAACATCATGTTCACCACCACTGCTGATGGGTCACATGTATACACAGCCAGCATAAATATTCAGGCGATTCATGGAGGCAGCAAACGCGCCGTAAACTCGGTCGAGGAAGCGTACAGTGGACCAGTAGAAGTTGCAACGCATTTCATAGGTAAGATCGTGTGCGTAAATACACCTATAATTTCTACATTTCTACAATATTTTCGTGGTGTACGTTTCTACAAAATCCATCACTCAGCACCTGTTTTGTACACCATTCGATTGCTTTTAGCACATGCTTATAGGTTGCGTAGCGTTGGGCGGTGTTTTCTACGTAGTGCTCTGCATATTTCCTGCGATGATGCCATTTAGCGGCGATGAACATCGTTTTAAATCTGTCCGTTTAATGCAATCATCGGCGCCAGCGATCACTTCGCGCCTCTGCCGCTGCGGTATTAGTGCTTCGCCGCCAGTTGTTGCCGCTCGTGACGCTGCGAGCAGCGAGTAACCCGGCGAGTAACTAACCAGATACGCTCGTCGGTTGCTTTCAGATCCTGACCAGCATGAAGCTCTTAGCTGCAGCTATTCTCATCGGCTGCCTGGTGGCGTGTCGCACCGCATGGGCTCAGCTATCTGGGCAATCGTGGCCGCAGACAGCGGGCAGCGTGGCGAATACCAACATTCGTGGTGGCCAATACGAAACCGGCCAGAATTACGGGAACGGAGCTAGCAACAACTTTGGCAGCAGAATAGTGAGTGGCACCGTCACTGCGCGACTCGCTTCTAATATCGCTGCGAATGGCATCGGGCAGAGTCGTGGACGAGCGGGTGAAGCGTTGGTTGGCTTCGTAAATAACGACGGAGTTTCAAACGTCCGTCCGCTGCAATCATTCGGAAGTAGTAACAGCGTTTTTCGCGGAAGCAATGACGGGCTTACTGGGAACCGAATAGCACCAGTTCGTGAAGTGATCGGAACCGTTGCCACTGGTAGTAGCAGGGACGGATGGGGAAGAGGAGGAAGCATCAGCAGCTGGGGCGCTGCTGATAGCAATAGACGAACGGGACTTAGGCTGGATGAGAATGTCATTAGGAACATCGGTGGCAGTCGACTTGGGGAAGGGACTAGCGTAGGTCGAGGCCTCACTAGGAGCGTGGCAGCTGGCTTGTTCGGAGATAGTGGCGGAGTGAATGGAGGTCTACTCATGACCATTGCCGACCGCGGGATCGGTGGACGTGTGGGACTAGGTGGGAATGTTATTGGAAGGGAAATCGTTGGCGGCGCATTAGTAGACAACCTTGCTAGACAAGACACGGTGGGAGGAATTAAGGAAGAAATCAGAGATCGTGCAACCAAGATCATTGGTGGTGATAATGGAGGAGCTGTAGGAGGTGGTTTCCTAAGAAACATCGTCGAAGCCAACATTGCCGACGAAATTAAGCAGGGCGTCAGAGTATCCACGAACGTCAGGGGCGGTGTCATTGGTCGCGCACTAGAAAACGGAGTCAGGGAAGGAATCCAAGAACGCCTAGTTGAAAACAGTTTTGGTACTCAGAATAGAGGAGGTATAAGAGGCGCTATCGCTGATGCAATGTTGTCGTGGCAATATTCGAGAAGGTATTCAAGAAGGAATTCAACAGGGTGTCGTCAGGAATGTTGTTGGTCGCGCACTAGAAAACGGAGTCAGGGAAGGAATTCAAGAACGCGTAGCTGAAAACAATTTTGGTACTCAGAATAGAGGAGGTATAAGAGGCGCTATCGTGAGAAATGGTTTCGGTGACAACATTCGAGAAGGTATTCAGAGGAATTAAACAGGGTGTCGTGAGAGTGCTGTTGTCGCGCACTAGAAACGCGAGTCAGGGAAGTAATTCAAGAAACGCTAGCTAAACAGTTTTGGTACTCAGAATAGAGGAGGTATAAGAGGCGCTATCGTGAGAAATGGTTTCGGTGACAACATTCGAGAAGGTATTCAAGAAGGAATTCAACAGGGTGTCGTCAGGAATGTTGTTGGTCGCGCACTAGAAAACGGAGTCAGGGAAGGAATTCAAGAACGCGTAGTTGAAAACAGTTTTGGTACTCAGAATAGAGAGAGGTAATAGAGGCGCTATCGTGAGAAATGGTTTCGGTGACAACATTCGAGAAGGTATTCAAGAAGGAATTCAACAGGGTGTCGTCAGGAATGTTGTTGGTCGCACACTAGAAAACGGAGTCAGGGAAGGAATCCAAGAACGCCTAGTTGCAAACAGTTTTGGTACTCAGAATAGAGGAGGTATAAGAGGCGCTATCGTGAGAAATGGTTTCGGTGACAACATTCGAGAAGTATTCAAGAAGGAATTCAAACAGGGTGTCCGTCAGAATGTTGTTGTCGCGCACTATAAAACGGAGTCAGGGAAGGATTTCAATGAACGCGTAGCTTGAAACATTTTGTACTCAGAATAGAGGAGTATAAGAGGCGCTATCGTGAGAAATGGTTTCGGTGAAACATCCGAGAAGGTATTACAAGAATGGAATTACAACAGGGTGTCGAGAATGTGTTGGCGGGCACACTAGAAAACGGAGTCAGGGAAGAATTCAAGAACGGTATAGTTTGAAACAACTTTGTATCAGAATAGAGAGGTATAAGA